CCCCCCCCAAAAAAAAAAGTCCCTCAAGGCTACAGTCAGGTACCGCCCCTCATCCTGGAAGCTCCTCCCAGCCAGAACTGGTCTGATGTCCTCCACCCTGGCGGTGGGCTAAGTTTCTTTGCATAAGATGTATCTTTTTGTCTGTAAAAATTCTAGGCTCTTGAGATCCAACATTGGATAAAACAAAGGGTCCTGCCAGTCCAGGGCAGGGGAGGGAGAGACACTGATGCGAGACACAGGTCTTTGAAGTAAAGAGTGTGTTTGAGGGTGATGTGAGCCATGGGAAAAGAAAGTAACAAATTGAGGGTGAGTCTTGAGGCTCTAACAGAGGGGAGGTAAGTTAACTGGGGTAGTGTTGGGGAAGAAGGAAGAAAATCACAGGCAGAGGAAATTGAAGGTGGTTTAAAGGGCAGACTATAACTCCTGTTTATAAGAAACCCTTGTATGTAAGAGGAAGGTGTGGAAGGTGGGAATCCTGAACTTGTACCGGGGGTCCAGTACAGGCCACTCAGCCAAAGCAATCCACAGCAGGGACTGGGGTGCTGGCCTAGACTTTCAGATAGTTTAATCTTTAAATATTTGGCATAGAATCTATGGAAAAAGCCAGAGATCTAAAAATTGTTTTCTCCTAGGGATGCTGATTTTATTAACAAAATGAATATAAAATCTTATGTTTGAAAACCTGATCATAACCTGCCACTTGAAAGCAAGGTTGGAAGATTAGAACTGTGTGGATAGTGCATAGGTGGTGGGGAGGGCATGAAAAAACAGAACAAAGTGTATGTCAATATATGAATGTGAAAACAAAAAGAATCTCCATCTCTCATCCCTGCATCCTGTTTCTTATGCTTACTTATGGGCATAAATATGTACTAGTAGTGATTACAAGGAAATAAATTTGGTTTAATAGTGATCAGAAATGGAAAATCTTTGTTTTACCTAAGATTCTAAGAGCAGAACATAGTAATGAGATAAATTCACAGCAAGGTTAGTCTTTGTAGCAGAAGTCTACATCAACAAGCTCAAGATAGATTAATAGAAGGAGCTCTGATTTAACTTCTGGAGAATTGTGACAAAGTGGTCCCATCAAAGCACAAATAACTTGGATTCATGGAAGGTACAGAAGCAGTGAAGGACTGAGCATTGGTGAACATTTGAAATGCCTAGATTTGAATTCTGGCTTCCCCTATTATTAATTGTGTGATCTGAAGCAAATTAGTTTATCCCATGCTTGGATTATAATGTATGTTTACTGAATGTTAGAAATTATTACTCAGAATATAATAGTCATTGAAATAAGATACAGAACAGTAGAGTATTAAAGCCTGAAGTAGTTATGAAGAGAGTACTTTTCCCTCAAAGACTTCAAAAGTTCATTTGGATTATATCATGTGCAGATAGATAATGTGACTGATACATTATTTTAAAAATTACATAGCATGTACTGAGGGTATATCTCAGAGGTAGAGTTCTTGTCTAGTATGCACAAGGCCATGGGTTCAATCCCCAGCACCAGAACAAAATTAATTAACAAAATGAATGTTAAAATGTCCATCAAGCAGTAGGAAATCCATTTTCTTTTGTCCTGCCCATGCCACTTCCAAAAAAAATATATTACATATGAAATTGATTGTCTAAATTTTATGTAAGGTGTAGAAAATATTTAAAACACTGCTATTTTATTTATATAGTTGATTTGCACTAACTCATTTGATTCTTTTTTTTTAAAGAAAGAGTAAGAGAGAATGAGAGAGAGGGAGAGATAGAGAGAATTTTAATATTTATTTTTTAGTGTTTGGCAGACACAACATCTTTGTCTGTATGTGGTGCTGAGGATCGAACCCGGGCTGCATGCATGCCAGGCGAGCGCGCTACCGCTTGAGCCACATCCCCAGCCCCTCATTTGATTCTTATCTCCTTTTTAATATTTATTTTTTAGTTTTCGGTGGACACAATATCTTTATTTTATTTTTATGTGGTGCTGAGGATTGAACCCAGCGCCCCGTGCATGCCAGGCGAGCGCGCTACCGCTTGAGCCACATCCCTTCCTTTTTTATTATAACACTTAGAATTGTTGTTGTTGTTATTATTTGCTATATCCCTAGTGCAGAATTATTATTTTTTACATTTATCTTTTCCAATAGACTTGTAGGAATTATGTGTCACAGGACAAAATGTCTTCAACACCTTGAAGAGCTTGGCATGTTGTAGATGCTCAGTGATTGTTGAAAGAAAGAATATATAATATAAGCAGTCCCACTTGGGACTTTTGTACTTTTTCCAACTCTGTTGGCTGAGTTAAGTCATATGTGTCCATTTCTTTGTTCACTACCAGTTCAGACCAAGTTGATGTTCTTTCAGAACTCTAATTCAAGCTATTTTTTCTAAGAAAAATTTCTTTTTACTTTCCTTTTTTCTCTCCACAGTGTATGCTTGGAATCACACTCAACTCTCATTTAGTATTTGAATTTTCAAACATTGTGTTTTGTACAGGTCTACTTCAATGCATAAAATAATAGTCATCTAAATTCATACTTCTAAATGAATGCTATCCCTCAGAATTATACTTTGGGAGGCTATGAGCTCTCACTGATGACACCTTTCACCTTTATTTAAAATTTCTTTGAAAATGATTTTTAGAACTTCCAAGATATAAAATAAAAATCTTTCTCTTTTTTTTTTTTGGGGGGGTAGTGGGGATTGAACTCGGGGGCACTCAACTATTGAGCCACATCCCCAGCCCTATTTTGTATTTTATTTAGAGACAGGGTCTCACTAAGTTGCTTAATGCTTTGCCATTGATAAGACTGGCTTTGAACTCCAGATCCTCCTGACTCAGTCTCCCTAGCTGCTGGGATTACAGGCATGTGCCACTGTGCCTGGCAACAAAAATCTCTTTATTCAACTATCTTAATATTCTTTGAACAAAAATATTACTCAGTCACCTTATTTGCCAAACTTTGCTCTGAGTGACATATATCTTTTACCTGGGAAGATCTGTTTATCATTGAAGACATTCTTAAACTCATGTTTTGAAATTTTCTTCAGAGTCTGAGTGTTTTATTTAGAATATCTTCAATGATATTTTTCTTAGAAAAAAATTAGCTTGATTAATGTTTTGAAAGAAAATCAATTTGGTATGAATTGGTGATAAACAAAAAAGTAAACACATAAGACTTAACTCAGCCAAAGCAGTAATCCAAAGTTTTTTTGGTGAATGTGGAGGCAGGTCAAAAGGAGGTGAATTATCTGAGGAATATTTCTCAGAGGTCCTGAAGACAGTGTCCTGATGAAACATTTCTCCCTTTTTTCAGAGAACAAGATTGTAATGACCATGTTCTCTAGATTGAGGGTCACATTCTTTTATTGAATAGTGTCAGAGAAACACTACCAAAATCCATCTCTAAACTGTTTTATATGTTTCCATGTTGGCTCTGTGGACTCAGTCTAATAGATGGAGGCAAACTAGTAAAAGCATAAGTACAGTACAATTTTATATAAGAATCTTGCTAGGGGCTGGGGATGTGGCTCAAGCGGTAGCGCGCTCGCCTGGCATGCGTGCAGCCCGGGTTCGATCCTCAGCACCACATACAAACAAAAGATGTTGTGTCCACCGAAAACTAAAAAATAAATATTAAAATTCTTTCTCCCCTCCCTCCCTCCCTCTCTCTCTCTCTCTCTCTCTCTCTCTTTTAAAAAAAAAGAATCTTGCTAAACAAATATTCCTTCATAGCTGGGTGTGGTGGTGCATACCTATAATTCTAGGTACTCCAGAGGTTGAGACTGGAGGATTGCAAGTTTGGGGTCAGCCACCCTCAGCAATTTAGCAAGAATACACCTCAAAATTTTAAAAATAAAATAACAGTTGGGGATGCAACTCAGTGGATGAACTCAGCATCCCTGGGGGATCAATCCCCAGTTCTCCCAGTATTGCAAAAAAAAAAAAAAATCAAGTATTTCTTTGTTCTTTTACATATTTTCCCTCATCTTTATCCTATGCTCATAAGCCAAACTTAAATAAATACATGCAAGAATTTCTTTTAGTATACTCAAATTATTGATATTTTTGCTATAGTCTCTCCAGACTACATGAGGTATAAGGAAAGGGGCTGACTTAACAATATCAAAAAATAATTTTCTATATCTTTTTTTTGGTCACTTTTCCCAGCATTACTGCTGTTTTTCTTTCTTTCCAGCTTTTAGCCTTTCTCCCAAAGATGGAAATGCTTCTGTTTGGTATCTGGACCCTACTGACATTGATCCCTTGCCCAGGTGAGGCTATTTGGGAAAGTTTCTTTAGGCCAGTATGTGTATGGATACACATGTTTGGTCAGTGAGCAAGGGGATGGGGCAACACTTCAGTATTTATTCATCTTGACTCTTGGGAGAAATTATCCTATCTCTTGATTCACTGGAACACAGAATCTCCAGGTGTCTCTGGGTTGTAATTGGGTAACCTAAATTAAAAGACCATCAGAGAGAACTCTGTCTAGGAAATGTGTCTTTTTCAGCAAGGCTCTCTGCTACTCTACGACTGTTCTTGTCTTGGTAGGATCATGTAGTAGAACAGAATTGCTCACTTTATGGCAGCTGGGAAGTGAAAGGAGGGAGAGGAGAGGCTGGGATTCCAATATCCCTTTCTAAGGCATGCCTCAATGACCTGTCTTCYACTAGACACCATCTCTCAGTAGAGAGATATTCCCTTCAAGAACATTTTACTTGGGCTGGGGGTGTAGCTCCATTGGTAGAGTGCTTGCCTTGCATGCACAAAGTCCTGGGTTCAATCCCCAGCATCACACACACACACACACAAAGAATGTTTTACTTCTTTGTGCCACCTTTTGTGTCATGACGAGCCATAACAGATTCCTGGCATCACACATTCTAGGCAAGGACTCTAACACTAGCTACATCTCCAGCCCTATAATAGGATCTTGTTAGGACAGGGCCTATTATAGCTCAGTTGCAAAAAGTTGTTGCATTGGTAACAGGAACTCTGGAGCCCTATCAGGTAATATTTCTACAGGTGTTGTGCAGAGGGAAATATTTGGTAGATATAGTGGATGGTGGACATGGTAGCTAAAAGGGACTGTGCACCTTACCTACATCAGGTATCTAAAATATATCTGATGTTTCCCTCAATGCATCTGAGACTGTTTCCCTAACATTGTGTTAGCTTTCCGTTGCTGGAACAAAATACCTGAGGGAAAAAATTAACTTGAGGAAAAGCTTTTTTGGCTCATAGTTTCAGAGGTTTCAGTCCATGACTACTCAACCATATTGTTTTTGGGTCTGTGGTAAGGCAGAACGTCATAATAGGATCATGTAGTAGAACAGAATTGCTCAACTTATGGCAGCTGGGAAGCAAAAGGAGGGAGAGGAGAGGCTGGGATTCCAATATCCCTTTCTAGGGCATGCCCCAATGACCTGACTGTCTTCTACTAGACCCCATCTCCTGAAGGTTTCACCATCTCTCAGTAGTGCCACAATCTGGCAACCAAGCCTTTAACATATGGGCCTTTAGGGGTCATTTAGCTCTAAAGCATCAGAGAACAAACTTGTAAATACTTCAAAACATTTGTTGCCTTAGCAGCAAAGCAAAATGGAATATTCTCACTCTAAGAAGAGGTAGAAAGTTCCATAGGAAGTGAGTGACCATGGTAGTCACCTTTAGGCCAGTGGTTTTGAGAGTTTGGTGTGTAGAAGGTCCCCAAGAGGCTTGTTTTGACCGCTAGCATGTTTCCAAGTCCTGCCTTCACCAGTTCATAGTCACTCAGTCTGACATGGGGTTGGAATCTACAGCATTCCAGTTGACTCTAGTAAAGGCAGTCATTAACTATAATTTGAGAAAAACACAGCTTTGAGGTATAAGTGACAAAGCTCTTTTACTTAGGGATCTGTATGCTAATCCCATGACGGTCCTCAGTAGCCAGTCCTGGGGAGCTTCTCAAAATCTGAAAGCTTAGGAAAAGAATAGATTTGTGGACATGATTTTTAGCAACTCCAAAATGCCATTGTGAAGTCAAGATCTCAAGAAAGAAGATGGGTGAAGGAGTAATGGTTGAATTGGGACTCTCAACCAGTGATTAAAGTTCTTTTTTGTTCAGTCTCCTGAACCTTTTATATTCAGGGCAGGTTTTCCTTTACCTAGAACTAGATAAAATAAGCCTTGTATTTTGTCTGGGTCTCATGATCTTCACCAAAGTCTTCAGCATATGTGGTTCATTTCAGGGGCCATAGAAGAGCTTTTTGAGGTTTCTGTTTGGCCAAATCAGGCCCTAGTGGAATTTGGACAGTCTCTAGTGATCAACTGCAGCACAACCTGCCCAAATCCAGGACCCAGTGGAATTGAGACGTTCTTAAAGAAAATCCAGGTGGGCAAAGGGCTTCAGTGGAAGGAGTTTCTCCTGGAAGATGTCACAGAGAACTCTGTCCTGCAGTGCTTCTTCTCTTGTGCAGGGATTCAAAAGGATACAAGCCTGGACATCATTGTGTATCGTGAGTGGGGCAGAAAACTGGGGAGGAAAGAGGAGTGGAAGAATGGGAATCTGTCTTATTTAGGGGARAATTAGGGCCCTTATTAAAGATTTCTGTCATACTGGAAGATTCCAGAGGCAGATGCTTCTTTTTCCCTTTGGCAGAGGCTGAGTTCTGGGTTTTGTGTTAGCAGACTGTCGAGGGCATCCAGACATAGCTTCTGGAGGACAGGAAGCAGATGCTAATACTCACTTCTGAATCATCAACAGAATATGATATTAGTGCTGATTATTTGCTACAAGTTGTTAGAATAACAGAAAGGAGAGTCATTTTGAGCTGGGGTGGTTAGAGAAGTCTACGAAGAAGGAGATCCCTGATTTGAAGAATGGGTAGACTTTGAATTGTTGGAGAAGGTAGTGAGGGGGATCGTTCTGTGGGGCAACTAGCAGTAGTAAAGGTAGGTCTGTAAGAATAAGTGAAATCTCTGTAGGTGAAAAACTTAGTTAGCTAGAGTGATTTTTGTGTGATGCTAAAAGTATTTTAGAAGTTACTCAGCCTCTGAACACCCCTGGTAAAAGATAAAAGCTCTCCAGAATGGCAGCAACAAAGCAAAGGACCTCCATTCCATTGTCACATTTCTGGGTTATGGCTCTAGCCACCTTTGATGAGCAAGAAGAACTAGAAAACTAACTCATCCCATCTATGGTGGGGGCAGCAGGAAATTGACACTATATCAGATAATTTAAAGGTAGTAGTCATCTTCTGTCATTTGCATATTCACAGGCTTCCTGTCCTATGCCATTTCTTTCTGGAGAAGTGGGTAGCTCTCACTCATCAAGCCCTACCTTTTTTGTTTTAAAGAGCCACCAGAGCAGGTGATCCTGGAGCTTCAGCCTGCATGGGTGGCCGTGGATGAAGCCTTTACAGTGAAGTGCCAAGTGCCCAGTGTGACACCCCTGGAGAACCTCACTCTTACTCTTCTCCAGGATAATGAAGAACTGCACAGAAAGAACTTTGTGAGCATGACTGTGGCCTCTCAAAGAGCTGAGGTCACCATCAGTGTCAGAGCCCAAAGGGAGAATGACAGGTGTAATTTCTCCTGCCATGCAGAATTGGATTTGAGTTCACAAGGTGGAGGGCTCTTTCATGGCAACTCGGCTATCAAGCTACTCCGGATCTTTGGTGAGTTTGAGGCCAGGTGTGAAAGGAATCCTGGCACTCATTTTGCTCATCTTGCCTTGGCCTTTGAGTTCTCGTTTTGGTTGAGGCTGTGAGGTTAATTGAACTCCACCTTTACTTTTTAACTCACCTTGAGAGAGAGAGAGAGAGAGAGAGAGAGAGAGAGAGAGAGAGATTGATTTTAGCCCCACTCCCATCCTACATTGTATGGTCCTACATAACACATGATTTATCATGACTTTCCTCTTTTCTTGCCTTTTGCTAATTTCTTGGCAGAATTCTCTCAGAGCCCCCAGATCTGGATCTCTTCCCTTCTGGAGGTTGGGATGGCAGAGACTGTGAGCTGTAAGGTGTCCAGGGTGTTTCCAGCCAAAGAAGTTATATTCCACATGTTCCTGGGAGATCAAGAGCTGAGCCCCTTCCTCTTCTGGAGAGAGGACACAGCATGGGCCAATGGCACTGTTCGGGCCATGGAGACTGGTGATCAGGAGCTGTCATGCCTTGTGTCTCTGGGTCCAATGGAACAGAAAACAAGAAAGTCCGTGTATGTCTACAGTAAGTGACCTATCTCTTCCTTTTCCCATGTGAGTTCTCTGCTCTTGAAAACTAACACAGAAATGGGTTGGTAATTCAACTGTAGGTATCTCTGCTAACCTTTGCCAGGTATGCTCTCAAGTGAATATTAGTCTTCATCTTTCTCTGTATGTGTAGGCAGGTTGGGATGTGCATCATGACAGTTCTAGCCAGCCTTCACCCTTGCTTCCTAAGGCCATCCTGTGTACAGAGCAATTACTGGTGTTTGAACTTCATTCTAGAATGATTATTTGAAGGGAAATCTAAGATGAAAAGAGATCTTACTGTCCTTTCAATAAAGGCATATAACCAAATATGTGTACACTGCAAATCCCCAAACCTCTTTGTTGTTCAGCCTTTACAGAAGCATAATGGCATCCAAAGTCTTTTTTCCTGTTGTSTGTCTATCCAAGGGAGACCTCCAGCAGAAAGTACAAAAATAGCTGCCAGTTTTGAAAAATGTGTTTTCTTTATTCTTCCTTTTTATCCTTTTTTCTTTCTCCTTTCTTCCTTCCTTTTTCCTTCTTTCCTTCTTCCTTTTTTTTTTTTTTGTGTGTGGTGCTGGGGATTAAACCCAGGTATATTCAACTACTGAGTCACACCCCAGCCCTTTTTATTTTTTATTTTGAGACAGGGTCTTACTAAGTTGCCAAGGATGGCCTTGAACTTCCTTCCTCATCCTCTTGGGTCCTTTTTCCTTTCTTTATAGGTTTCCCTCCACCCATCCTGGAGATAGAAGAATTATATCCTTTGGCAGGGACAGACATTAATGTGACCTGTTCAGGCCATGTATTAACATCACCCAGCCCTATTCTTCAGCTACAGGGAGCCCCAACCCTCTCTGCTCCTGGGGAGACTGTATGGCTTCTACTTACTGCCAGGGAGGAAGATGATGGCCGAAATTTCTCCTGTGAGGCTTCTTTGGAAGTACAGGGTCAGCGGTTGGTTAAAAACACTGTGACACAGCTTCATGTCTTATGTGAGTAGAGACCTGGTCTTTCTTAAAATAAGGATTATTTGTTCCCCTCCCAGAGATCTTCTTGGCCAGTAACTTCATTGTTAACATTGCCATATTTTCCTCATTGAAAAATTAAAGAAAATACAGTGAAAGCTCTCCAAGCTTACTTGCCCCCAAGAAAGTGAGTGGGTAGGAAAATGAAGGGAAATTGGAACCCAAAAGGAAAGTGGTTGCAGTGATTAAACAGCAATAGTTGAGAGCTGATGACTGGGAGAACATAGGAAGGGGAAGTTGGAGCTGATGCTGAGGAAAGTTTCCAAAAATTCCATATCAAAATTTGTAATTTGCAAAGTGGGAAAATCCTCATTTCTGAGTTCACCCCTGCTCAACTCCTTCTCCACTGGGGAGCTAAATGGGTAACAGAACAGTGTTACCATTAGTCTGAATCTGTAAGCACACTATAGGCTGCATCTCAGACTTCTTTTCCACAAGGAGGGAAAGAGGAGCTGGCTCAAACAGGGAACTAATAATCTTCCCCTTGGGAAAGAAAGCTGTTAGGTGGAGGGAGCAGCATTTGGGTGGTGTGGGGAGAGGGAGCTCAGCATGGAGGTGAGAAGGGGAACAGAGCATACTGAGTTGGCCTCCTTGGGGACTCTGTTTTGCAGATAAGCCAAGGTTAGAGGAATCTGGTTGTCCTGGCAACCAGACATGGGTAGAAGGAATGGAGCAGATGCTTACCTGTGTCCCAGAGGGAAATCCAGTTCCAGCTTTGGAGTGTACTTGGAATGGGATGATCATTGACCTTGAAGTGCCACAGAAGGCAACCCAGAACCACACAGGCACCTACTGCTGCACGGCCACTAACAAGCTGGGCTCTGTCAGCAAAGATATTGATGTCACTGTTGAAGGTAACTGCTGCTGCCCTGCTATCAGACCCAGGATGGAATTCCCTTAGGGAATTTTATTGTAGATGGACACAATACCTTTATTTATTTTTGTAGTGTTGAGGATCTAACTCAGTGTCTCACACATGCCAGCCAAGTGCTCTACCACTGAGCTGCAACTCAAGCCCCTTGAGATTGTTACTTAAGCATGGAAAGAAGAAAGATTTTATTGGGCTGGGGAGGAAGAGACTTAGAAGTGGGTCTGGTGGTAAGGGTGGGGTTATTCTCTTGTCCTCAAACCCCTCTCAGTTCTCTGTCTTCTGTGCTTGGACTAGGACTGGATAAAGGAGTCAACTCAACTCTCTTCATCATCATTGTCGTCCTTGGAGTGGGTGGCATCACCTTAGCACTGTATTTAAACTATCGGCCCTGCAAAATGAAGAGGAAGAAATTGCCCTATAGGCAGAAAAAGTATAACAAAGAAGAAGAAGAAAATCAGTTTGCTGTTCAACAAGCAGAAAAGTGCAATTCACATAATTGTTGACTAGAAACAGCTCTTTGGTTGACAGAATTACTACTGGGGTTCCCCAGGGAGGGAAGAGTGGACAGAGGAGAAAGGAAGAAACAACATGAGGCTACATTACCCTTTGTGTTATGTTGTCCCATAAAACAGACATGTTTCAGGCCCCCCATGTCCTTTGTGTCCAGTCCAACCACAAGTTCACTTTTCTCTTTGAGTTCACTCCAGTCACTAGGAGTTTCATTCTCAGTGTTCAGCTAGTGAGAGGGTCACAGAAGGCAACCCAGAACCATCTTGCTATGTGCCTAATTGGATCATTCTTAGATCTACAGAGATCCTGCTTTTACATCTTCATTCCCACCACCCTTTTCTCTATGAAATTTGCCTCATAGGTTAAGGCTGCAAACATCTCTGAATTTTTTTTCATAAGCAATTGCAGAGTAATCTATGAGTTCACATTTGACATATTTACCTATATGGGCTCTTGGGTTTAGTTTCAATGTTTAGCCTTAATTTCCTAAAGATGTATAATATTCATCTGCCTGAGAACTATTTCCTTAAGTGTCAGGAGGAATCATCTTAGGCTGGGGATGTAGCTCAGTGTAGAATGCTACTGGGTTCATTCCTCAGTCCTAGGGGGGAAAAAGTCAGAATGAAAAAATCTCTTGTAAGATTTTATGATTTGGCTTTCTTTTTTGGAGTTTATTCACTGTAGAAAGAGGCATGAGGAATCAGAAAACGAGATCTTTTCTCTCAGATCAGTCATGAAATGTTGGCTCTGGTGAAAATAAATGTGATTTGATGATATCTGAATGTACTTTTCTTTGTATCATTCCTGAGTTTTTTTTTATTAAGCCAAATAGTTGCATTTTAGAACTTTGAATATAATTTCTAAGGTCAGAATATCAAGTCGATTGCATGAACAGTGACCCTGGGGCAGGTAATACAGTAGCCTATCTGACCTGCCCTCAAAACTAAAGTTCAGACTTCCAGATAGAGGCCCACAGCCTTCCATATTACCTACACTAGCTAGAAAGAATGCAGCATCAGATACCAAAGGGGAAACATTTTCCCCTTCCTCCCAGATCTCCCTGAGTTTTGGGAAGTGGTACAAAAGCAATATTTTGGTTTTACAACATCCTGCAATGGGAATGCCATTGTGAACAAATCATTGTTCCTGCCATCCACAAGATTATAGTTGGTTTGGGAATGTGTTACCTTTTCATCACTAACAAATACCTAAGGTAAATCAAGGAGAACAGTTTTATTTTTGCTCACAGTTTCAGGCCATGTTGAAATAAGCAAACTAGCTGTTAGTCTCAGAGGTTAACAGATAAACCAGAAAATTAGGAGTTAGAAAGTGGACTAATCTTCAAGGCTGTGAAATTATGAACATATCAGGTGATGTGAGGTCAGGAAGTCATCTTAGCCTTCTTGAGACTATGCACTGTGTGGGCAGCAGAAATACAAGAAGCCAGAGCCTGACAAGGTCACTAAAACAGAACCATCTATACAGGACAATAGTCTGCCMTATTTTCAAAATAAAATTAAAGATTTCCCCAGATGATAAAAGAAGCAAGTTCTAGGTGGTGAGGGGCAAATACATGTAGAATAGTGACTGCATAACACACAGTTACCTTTATTAGCATAGTGAAGCACCCCCAAAGTGGAGACAAGATGGTAATGAAATACATAACATGAAGGAACATGATGAAGGGTTGGGGTTGTAGTTCAGTAGTAGAGTGCTTGCCTAGCAAGCATCAGGCCCTGGGTTCCATCCCCAGGACCACATACAAAAACTAAAAAGACAAAGGYACTGTGTCCATCTACAAGTAAAAACATAAAAAAAGAAACATGATGAAGAAGAGCACAGATGGAACTATACTCCCATTCTACATGTGATGACATCAAATCTAGTTAAAAATATGTGCATTAACTCTTATGATMAGGAAAGGATAGATTATTAAGAGAAAGCCTAACTTGGGTGGGGTGGTGCTTATATTTGATTAGAGAATGTGTTAGCTTTTCATTACTGTAACAAATACCTAAGGTAAATCAACTCAAGGAGGACAGTTTTATTTTTGCTAACTTGGTGGGGGGAGCTTTCTGGAGGGAGAGAGAATATTTTGAGTTTGCAAAATAGCATTTCTCCAAGTGACCTTCTCAGCCTCAATTTTCCCACTAAAGATGGTGGTTCCTACTCCTTCATCATGTGTGTCTTAATGTAAAGTATTCATTTTCTCAAATTGAGCACTTGAGGAAGAATCTGGGAAAAAGCAGGTTTAAGAGAGCAGAGTATGAATAGCCTTATCCAGGGATCTCCAGCCATTTCATAGTCTGGATTGGCTTGTAGTTAGTTGGTCCACATCTGCATCTGTCACCCTCTGACCCCAGAGCCCTGACTCCCAGTGATTAAAATAAGGAGGCAAGAAGGGGGTCATTTGGACTTCCTACGCTCTTCAAGGAGAGCTTTTGCTCTTCATTGCCACTGGGTGTCACTGTTGACAGAGGGCTTTACACAGTTGCACCAAATCAAGGGTTTCTGCAGATCCACATATATTTTTTTAATATTTATTTTTTGGTTAGACACAATACCTTTATTTTGTTTATTTATTTTTATGTGGTGCTGAGGATCGAACCCAGGGCCTCATGCATGCTAGGCGAGCGCTCTACCGCTGAGCCACAACCCCAGCCCAGATCCACATATTTGATTGGCTACTGTGAATCTTTATGGGAGGATGATCTACTACCTTAGGTCTCAATACGGCTGTAGATGACTCCTTGTTTGTGTTTCCAGGGTTACACCTTTTAGAAGTCAGTGCTTTGGATTTTCCATCTCACCAGGCTCTTCAGATTTGGTCTAGCCTCTTCCCCTCGTAGATTTTTCTCTTCTTTCCTCCCAGGATCTACCCAGTCAGGGGTTGGGTAGCCCCTTCTTGCCAATTCTCAAAGCACAAAGGATCTCAGTACATCTCTTTTCCAGAATAACAGAACTCCTAAGGGTAGCTGCCTTCATTGTCTCCAGGACTCCCCAGACCCTGAAAGGTTTTGATAATATCTTCCTCTAAACTGCTCACAGTAATTAGTAGCTGCCCATTATCTTCAGAGGAAGAGTGACCTTTAATACCCCCACATTTGTACTCTTAAAGATGGTTAAGGTTGATGAGCATGGTGGCATACACCTGTAATCCCAGAGGCTCTGGAGACTGGGGCAGGAAGATCGTGAGTTCAAAGCCAGCCTCAGGGAAAAAAAAAAAAAAAATTCACTGAGGCACTAAGCAACTCAGTGAAATCCTGTCTTTTGTATTAAAAAATACAAAATAGGGCTGGGGATGTGGCTCAGTGGTTGAGTGCCCCTGAGTTTAATATCCAGTTACCCCTTGCCCCCCCCCCAAATAAAGATGATTAGGGTAACTTTTTGCCATCTTTCTAGATCTGAGAAAGGATAAGTTAAATATTCAGTGGGGCTTCTTACTAAAACGGTAATAGTATTTAGAGGATTATAGTGAGAAAGAAATGAAACAGTATTTGGAAAACATGAATATGGTGCCATACACGTGCTCACAAATGTTGTTTTTTTATTATGTGAATAATCCTGGTGGTAATTATGTCCTTAATTATAATCATAATGAATTTGAGGCAAGAGTCAGAAACCTGTGACAATTGTTAAGGGCCATCATAAGTTGCACATTCCATACACGTTTCTCTTTTCCATTATGTTATTTCCTTTGACTTTCCTAGTCTTCTTCCTCCTTCTTCCTCTATTTTTCTCCTTTTTGGTTTCCCAAGATTTAGGAATAAAAGTTGGATAACCAAACTTACTAGCTCATTTGCATTGAGTTGAGGAGTTCTTAAAATCAGGAAAGCTTTATGTCAACTGGGACTGGCTAGTAACCTTGATACTAATCACCCAAAGTGTTTCTCAGCCATGCCAGGGTCTTCTGTGAATTTGGTGGTGTGAGGGATCAAACCCAGGCTTCAATCTTCTAGGCAAGTGCTCTACCACTGAGCTGCACCACCAGGGGCTTTTGGATTAAGGAAACTTCAAGGCTTGTCTGGTCCAAAAGCCCAGATCTTGTTCCAAGTAGAACTTAGGCAGAAAGAGGGGTGTTACTTCCACTCTAAGTGAGTATACAGGGACACAACTAGCTGTGTATGTTTTGGCAATGGTGATGGAAGACATTCAGAATTGATTTTAGATTAGGGTAAATTCAAAAGATTGCATGAAGCCAGGTGTAGTGGCACAAACTTGTAATCAATCCTTGCTATTTAGGAGGCGAACACAGAAGAATTGAAAGTTTGAGGTGAGCTTTAGCAACTTAGTGAGACCCTGTCTAAAAATGAAAAATAGAGATGTAGCTCAATGATAGAGTCCCAGTGAGTTCAAATTCAATCCCTAGTAAAACACACACACACACACACACACACACACACACACACACACCAGATTGCATGAAGTCAGAAAAATATTATTCTTGGGGAGCAACAATTGCTTGAGCTCTATTGAACTCTTCCTGGTGGGAGTCCTCTTCATCTTACCCTTGGGAAGATTTTTCATTTGAAAATATTGCTTATATTTATAAAATTATGATAAGACAGACATAAAATTTACCATCCAAACCATTTTTAAGCATACAGTTTGATAATGTCAAGCACATTCACCTTCCTGTGTAATCATCTCCACCATCTAGCTCCAGAACACTCTCCATCTTGTACCAGGGAAACTTTGTACCCATTATATAACTCCCGGTGCCCTTCTCTCCAGAATCCCTGGCAGCCACCATTCTACATTTTGTCTTGATGGATTTGACAATTCTAAGTACCTCATCTGAGTGAAATCACACAGTATTTGTCTTTTTGTGACTGGATTATTAGAAAAAAATTAATGATTGTTTAGAATAAGAACAGAGAGCTGCACAATGAACCTGGGTCTTTCATCTCCTTTTGCTCCATTTTGCCTATACAACAGCTCTGAACACGTGCTATCTAGCTCATCTTTAAAAATCTATCTTTTAAAAATTCCC